CTGTACTTGGTGTTCCAAAACATTTTCAAATCAGGGCAATATAAGCAGGCATACCAAAAATATGCATGATTCGTTGGTGGCTGGAAGGAAAAAAACAATATTGTGCCCTTTGTGTATTGTGTAACAAATCGTTTGGGTTCTACACTGAATTGGACACGCATTTAGAGTCTGAGAGTCCTCGCACCAGATAATCAAGATTCCTACAAAAAATGATTTGTTTGTCGGCGATGCCCGGATAAACAAAATCAAAAAATTGATGCTCTTGGACTAAATTTATTCTCAATTCTTTATGTGTAGGTAGAGTTTTTGCAACAGTTTTTGTTTATCCGGGCATCGCCGACAGAGAAATCATTTTTTTGTAGGAACCTCGATTATCTGTGGCGGGGACTATAGATACTTTCTTTTAGATTTTATGTGCAATTTGATTTTTTCTGTGTCAAAATAAATTTTTCACCCAAATACATACCTTTGTGTTTTATTTATTACAGATATAAATACAGTCTAGGAAAATAGTCGAAAAATAAATGCATTGCAAAAAAAAAATCCTACCCAAATGAACTTTTCAGGGATGATAGGGGGCGGGTGGGTGATCATAAAACCGAAAATATCAAACATTCACCCCTCTGGCGTTTTGCGCTATAGGGGTTGAAAGTGCGCCAAAGGCGATTACTTGGTACCTATTGATTTTACAAAAAAATGTTTCAAATAAAAGATGTGCAACATTATTTGATCTACAATGTTTATCTGAAGACTTTTTTGAATAAGTGCCGTCTGTGGTCATAATGGCCGTTTGAAATTTTATGATGAAAATGAAAAATTTTAACCAACGTAAAATTTTTTTTTCTACAAAACATACAACATTTTTGCTTCATGAGGTTTTTACTCACCCCCTGCCGTTTTTCAATAAGGGTCGTTTAAAGTTTTTTTATTTTTCTACAAAAAAACTTTCTTGATAAAAGTTTTATAAGATTACATTTCCTACAATTTTTCCCAATCAACTTTTTTTGTAACTCACCCCCATTCAGCGGGGGGACACTTCCCTAAGAGAAATTTTAGTTTTAGGGGTATATATTATTTGTTTTCTTTCTTTTCTCGCCTTTAGTGCATATGAAAAGTTGCAATTAACATTGTATTAGAAGGATTTTTTTTTTCCACCACCTTTTTGTTTTTAGGGGTAGTTTGCGTATTTTCAACTTTACAAAAAAAAATTATTAAGAAAACTTGTTCATTTTATTATTTTGAACAACTTTTCTCTATCATTTTTTTTTGTAAACTTGAAAATAGGCGAATGTTATATGCACTAGAGGCGAGAAAAAAAAAAAATATAAACCCCTAAAAACTAAAATTTCCCTGAGGGAAGTGTCCCCCCGCCGAATGAGGGTTAGTTCCAAAAAAAGTTGATTGGGAAAAATTGTAGGAAATGTAATCTTATAAAACTTTTATTAAGAAAATTTTTTTGTTAAAAAATAAAAAAACTTAAAACTACCCCTATTAAAAAACGGCAGGGGGTGATTAAAAACTTCATAAAGCAAAAATGTTGTATGTGTTGTAGAACATTTTTTCACATTGGTCAAAATTTTTCATTTTCATTATAAAATTTCAAACGGCCCTTATGACCACAGATGGCCCTTAATCAAAAAAGTCCTCAGATAAACTTTGTCGATCAAATAATGTTGCACATCTTTTATTTGAAACATTTTTTTGTAAAAAATCGCCAATGACGCAATTTCAACCCCTATAGCGCAAAACGCCAGAGGGGTGAATGTGTGATATCTTAAGTTTTATGATCACCCACCCGCCCCCTATCATCCCTGAAAAATTCATTTGGGTAGGAATTTTTTTTTTGAAAATCGACAATTTTCCTAGACTAATAGTTAAGGGCTAGATTGGTTTTTTTTGCGCTAATTTTTTGCTAACTAAAAAATTATCCTAAACGGGGTGGATAGAAATTTCAGAGTAAGTAGAAACAAAATTAGGGAATTTAGGCAACAACGTACAAGATCAAAAACAAAACAAGAAAACCTAACCTAAAAATCTTCTATGGGAAGTAGGCGCACGCGCATACTGAAGGAGCCACGTTGAGATATAGACGCAAGTTATAATATGCGCCCCTGAGCTGAGAAGTTTTGCACTAAATTTAATTCAATGAAATTTCTATATATCAAATACGTAAAAACACACGTATCCATTTTTAACCACTGCCGTTGTGTGGTCCACTTGCAACTGATCAAATTTGAAAGCGGCACGCGACAATAGAAACGCTTGGATCTTTGTTCATAAAAAAAACGCCGCGTATTTTGTCGCCCCGCGACAAGCAACAAAAAACGCGTGCATAAAAGAAGCCTAACATGCATTTGTAAGTTATGAGTCAAGTAAATGACTCAAGCGCATTGTACAGGTAGAACTCCTTTTATCGAAATTTATATTAAGATCTCCGGCTATAATTATATAGGAAGAGCTTGAGATATTATTAGACAGGATTTCATCGAAGCCTGTAAGGAGTAGGTACACCACTATCAGATGAGGGTGAGCGTCCTGTCACTTTCGGCCTGCTGGGCCGGTATTCTCGTTTCCGAAAACGCTTAAGGTAGGATTTTTAACTATCCGGCATTGCGGTGTGCGGTAGCGGTATGCGGCTTTGCGACAAGCCGGTGAGTTGTGTATCATGTTGTAAAATCGAGCTGTTTTGTTACCATGCGTTATGCGGCAACGTCACTGCGGCGTCGCAAGCTGTCTTTGCGGCGTGCTGTTGAAAAACTCCAAAATGTTTTTCGACGGCACCGCAGTAGTGTGCGACGCCCCACGACCTGGCAAAATACTACAGTTTTGAGCTTTGTTCCTGCACCCATTGCAGCCATCATGTCACATATAATATATATAGGTATTCCCTTCAAGTGCATTGAAAATATAGTAAAACAGGTCACGTCAAACTCTCGAGTATGCTTCAAATTAGTTTCACTATCATTCAAGTGACGTTCAATGAAAATGTTATACCTACGCTCCTTCTTGTGGATCACTTTTATAAATGTTTGATATTTCACTGCGATTTTCACAACAGTGAAATACATCTTCTTCTTCATCTTCTTCGAGCAAGAGAATCGCAGCAATAATAGTACGACGAGTAGCTGATCTCATTTTTTAATCGCGACTTCAAAAATATTTGCCTGACAGTTAAAAAACAAATTTGCCGCCAACAGCATGCAGGTTGCGTCATCCGCAACATCGCAGTATCGCACGCCGCTGCCGCATACCGCAATGCCGGATAGTTAAAAATCCTACCTTTACCGCTTTTTAGTCGCTCGGCACTTCAAATGTTAATTTACATACCGGGTGGGGCACGAAAAACTTTCCACCCAGGTTTTCTCAGGTGTTTGGTGTTTAATCAATAATCGCTAAGACACGTCAATTTTTGTTTTTTGGGGGACACATTTTATTGGTATTCTCACCCCCTACCTGTGAACCCCTAAGTAGGGGTAACAGGTACCCCCAAAATTTCAAATAGAAAGAGGTGTCGAGTGATTGGTCATTTGGTAGCTATTTTCATTGAGATTATATCCCCGTAGTTTTAAGTTGCTACTAGTAACCCTGCCGAAATGGCGGCAAGTCAAAGTTAGGATAAATGCTTTTTTTCGATTATACAACTCACTGTACATTATTCCCATATGACACGAGAGGATTAACAAGTGATAATCCTTCCCATATGACACGAGAGGCTTAACAAGTGATAATCCTTTTGCACGGTAACTGGTGTTTTGACATTTTTTGACAAAAAATTTAAATTTTTGATTCATGAAATTATTAATTGAAAAAGAATTAAAGTTTAGTTCGTTGTATAACCTTTTGAATACCACTCGATGTTTCAGGCTTACCTAATACTTTTACCTGACACTCAACGCGTTACCAGCAACACCACTCCTCCTTCGGAGTCGTGGTGTTGCTGCGTAACGCGTTTCGTGACAGGTAAAAGTATTATCCGGTAATCCTGAAACCTCTTGTGGTATTACATTCGATAATCTAAGCTGTCTAGTTTTTACCTGTCACACCTATGCGTAGGTAACAGGTAAAAACCACACTGCATTTTTCCATTGATTTTTCCTAACTTTGACAAACCGCCATTTCGACAGGGTAAATAGTAGCAACTTGAAACTTCGGGGATATATTCTTAATGAAAATAGCTATCAAATGACGTATCACTCGACCCCCCTTTTCATTTGAAATTTTGTGAGTACCTGTCACCCCCACTTAGGGGTTCACAGGTAGGGGCAGAAAATATACCAATAAAATGTGTCTCCCAAAAAACAAAAATTGACGTGTCTGAGCGATTTTTGATTAATCACCTAACACATGAGAAAACCTGGGTGGAAAGTTTTTCGTGCCCCACCCGGTATAAAGTGCTGAACGACTAAAAAGTGGTGAGCGTTTTTGAGTACGAGAATACCGGCCCTTGGAGAACTCACTTTCGGCCCTGATAAATTGTTCTTTCACACCTAAACACAGAGTGAGCGATAGACACAGATTATGTATAAATTCCGAAATTTGGATAAAACTATGACAAACTCAAACGCAAATTCCTGCAATAAGTAATTGAAATTCGTTATCGATTGGAAAGAGTTCTGTTTTAAAAAAATTTAATTAATCAAAATCATACAGCCACCATGTATAGACTGAGTTCTACCAACGGTTCTGCAAAACATTGACAAAACCGCATAATCCGACATATGAAACAGTTCATCCTGCCTCAACTAATGTTCCATCAGTAAAACTATATTTGGCAAGTTGTAATCCTTTAAAAAGAGGGAGAGTTCAATAGTTTTATTCCTTAACGATTGAATGTTGAGTATGAATGTTTAAAGGAGCGCGAATATTAACACCAAATTATGTCGTTGATCAGGTTTTTGCTACAGAAGAAGAAGACGAGATCAGTGAATATTTTTTCTTTTAGTTTACTAAATATACAATTGATAGGGGGGGGGGGGGGATCAAAATCAAAACACATCAACTTTATTGAATAGTTTTTTTTAATAAACAGAGCCTTTCCCTACAATAGAATGCATGACATAACGTCATACATAAAAATAAATTAATATATGAAAATCCATAATTATAATTAATTATTCATAAACTCCTATCAAATTGTATAGACCCTAATTTTCAACTTAATTTTACCTAATAAGGGTCAATCTTGTATTATTGTATAAATACCTGATCTCCAGTAAATTTCAAAAAAGCAATTTTAAAAATATACAAAATATAATTTAAAAAAAAAGAAAGATTAAGATTGTAAAAAGTTAGGTATATCAAATTTGTTAAATTAGATAACAAGAAATCAATATTGATTTAAGGCTGGTTTATATCAATTTGAAGTAATTTTTACTCAAGGAGTATTCCTAATCTTCAAGTAAGATTATTAATTTCACAAATAGGATTGAATGTCATGACACAGTTTGAAACTCAATAGGAAAAAAGTCTTAAAAATTAAATAAACTTGTAAAAAATTATACAGCATAAAATCTCTTTTGAAATAATAAAAACAGGTTGCTCTGCTGATTTGTTACTTGCTTTTAATGGTCCCCATCTCCAGAATGTAATTTCTAAAAAAAAAAAAGAACATTGTGTATAAAATTAAATATTGTCCTTTACACTTTACTTACAATTCCCAAGTCCAAATTCCTTAGCATCGTCCTCTGTAATGTCACCATACTCCCAAATGTTCAAGTGGGCCTTCTTAGCTTCAGTTTGAGCAGCCCGATAATCTTCAAGCTGCAAAAAGTAACTCAATAGAATCAATTTTCAATGCATCTCTTCATTAATTATTACCAATTTGTTTTGTCTTCGACTCTTGATATTATCGACCAGCAATAAACCTTCAGCAATGAGCCCTCTTACAATATCCGTGGTGCCAGATTGGTCTTTGTGAAGTGAAGCAGTGTGTTGTCCGGCAGCTCTAGATTCAACATTCAAATATAATTTGGCAACGTTGGTGTCTTCCTTTAGATACTTGAGAGCCAATTCTTTGAACTCCTCATCTTTCGGCAAACTTACATAAGGCATGCTGTATTCAGCAGCAAAAGGTCTGTCAGCTGAATAAGCAGCTGGTAAACTTGCCAATCTTGTTGTGGGGATGGTCTCTCTGTTTCCATAATCAATGTAATGGACCAAAGCTTTGCCAGAAGCTACTTTTTCTACTTTGACTCTGTACCAAGCGTCATCAAGAGTAAATTTAGCGGCGCAAATGTCGCCTCTCTTCGGGTTGTATGCGCCTGGAAGTGGTGGATTAGCTTCGAATTCTTGCCTGAGTTTGGCCAATAACGATTCAGCTTTTGGACCATCAGCAACTTTTTGCACAAAGAATGTTCCTTCATTTGTAACTTCAGTTACAACGACTTCTTCGTAATTAACTTTCCTCTCTGTTGGCACCCGTTCTTCTTCAACAACCTTTTCTTGAGGTTCTTCTTCCACATAATTCTTCCACCTTCTCAATTTTTGCGCTTTGGCACCATCCTCAGCTTGTTTCAGTTGAGAAGCATATGAAGACTTTTCGCCGGTAAAGTGAACAGAAGCAAAACCGGCCTTGACAAGCTCGACGGACATGTTTACATTATCCACCCATAGCCAACCAATGAAATTACCAGCTTTGTCATGGGTGTCGACTTGGATGGAAACTTCTCTTTGCAGGCATTTTTCTTTGGTGAACAGTAAGGCTTCATCACCGAATTCTTCACCTTCTGACGCTGGAAGATTACCTGTGGCTGCTCTGGTGGCTCTTGGACAGGTAATTCCACCTAAAAGACATTTTAGAAAAATTGTATTGCAATTTATAACAAATTTGAGTTATATCGTTGGTATGTTACATGAAACAACATATAATAAAACGGGGGAAGATACACCCCCAGCTGATTGCAAATAGTTTTAACTAGCAACAGTTTCTCTAGAATCTTGTACACATACCCACTTTTGCAGGCGCATTTTCTGATTTTAATCATGTTTTCCAACTCACCCAATATCTGCATTATTTTTACTTGGTATTTTTTTTTATTCCGTTTTACTTAAGAAAACGTTTTCCATAATGTCAAAAACCAAAATTGTAGATTAGCAGTGGAAAATATAAACAGAAAGGAGCTAGTAATATTTTTTTTTACTTACCAAGCAAAAATGTAGCTAAACTGTTAGTCTTGGGAATGTATAATCTCAACCTGGAGCCACTAGCAACAAATTCCACAATAGCATCGATTCTCTGAGCCCTCTGGAATGAGGCAAGTTCCAATTTCGCTCTGGCACTATCAATTTCAGTAACCCTCAATGGTGCACCGTCTTTCTTCGAGTGTACTCCCAGCTGTGATTTTTCAGCCTTAGTTTCGGCCTTCAAAAGCTCATCATATCTGCAACTCCTTTGGTCATCGTCTTGCCTATATCTCACAACAGTAGCCAAGCCTTTGGATACCAGAGCTTCAGCTACGTTTTTTCCGTTAATGGTGACTGTTGCACAGGCTTTTTCAGGAAAACTATCTCTGGCTTCTTGAATATAGTCAATGACAATGTGAACTTTTTTGCCTATCAGTTTTTTTCTCAAGTATTCACGTGCCTCAAACATCCATGGAATGTCGTAGAGAGGCCTAAAACCCTTTGGCCTTGGAATCGGCTTGCCTTCTTCGTCCTGGCCTGCTCTGCCTGCTTCCCTTGGTGGTCTTATACTAGCCAAAAATACTTTTTTAAATGAATTATTGGCCAACTTCAGTTGAAGAGCATCGCCATTGATAACTTCAACAACGGTAGCTGAAAATTCTTTTTCTTTGCCTGTAATTTGAGGGGCTCTAGCTTGATAGTCTTTCCAAATGCGTTTTAGTTCGCTTTTAGCTTGGGATTCGGCTAAACGAAGTTTTTGAATGTCAACTGACGGAAGTGGAGCTAAAGACCAATCAACGCATCTGGCGAAGCCTTCACGTACCAAATTTTCTGCGATATTTCCTTTCGGATGCAAAATCGAACCAATTATGTTGTTACTGTTATTGACAGAATATAAAACAACGTCAACCTCGCGTTGTAAAAGACGAACCTCAACGTAATATTTAGCTTCTTCGGCAAATTCAATCTTTTGAGATGGATCGGGTCTACCTTGTTCATCAAGCTTAAATCCATTGCACCTGATACCGGCAATCATTAAAGTGATGTAATGGAAGTCAGGTAATAAGAAGGCACGAACTGTGGAGCCATCACGAACATGCTCAATAACAGCCTTAATTGGTTTACCTTCGTTTTTGTCTACAAATGCTTTGATGTTTTCTAGAGACCATTTGACATCTCTTACATGTTCCTTTAAAAAATAAATCTAATTAAAATCTTCAATGTTATAATTTAAATAGTCATGCTCACTGAAGCTTTCAGCAGAAATCACTCCAAAAGTAAAATAGTAATGGTTGATTGATCATAATGAACTTGCTTTTACCAAAATTATCTAACAATAAATATTACTTACAGAAGAAGGACTTGTTCCCCATTTTCCTTTCCCAGCACGTTTTGCCTCATCTTCAAGCTCACAGAGACGGGTAAGTTCAGGTGTTGGTCTTACGCCCTCTCTCCTCACTGTTACTAGACCTTCTGATACCAACGATTCAGAAATATTTTCGGCAGTATTGATGTCTGAAGTTATAAATAATTATTGGAAATGTTCTAAATTATTATTTCTTTTTAAAATTTTACCTTTTCCCAGATATATTGTGCCATACTCCCTGGTCGCATTGGGCGGTTTTTCAGACACGAAAAGTACTTCTTCTCCAATCAGTTTTTTTCTGAGGAATTCTCTCGTTTCCCAGGCCCACGGTTCGTCTTTACTTTCGCCACTACAAGTTACATATTTGTTTTAAAAGGCGCACTCTGCAAGAAGCAACCATACACTTAAAATCTAATTTTGAGAATGAGAAATGTGCTTTATGACAACATCATAAGATTTTTATATACAGGGTGCCAATTTGAAAACTTTCAATGGCTATTTATCTGGGTAACCGAAAAATATATGAGAATTTTTTTTATTTATTTATTTATTTATTTATTTATTTATTTATTTATTTCACACTACAAAGGTATACAATGGGTATATAAATATTCAATGTTAAGAATAATACATTTTTTTTTCTTCAAAAAGAAGCGAGCACCTAAGTGATTTAACACTTGTGTTGTGCTGAGATTATAAACTAGATTACAAATTATCTAACAAAAATTTCTATAGTAGGGAGAGGGAACCAAAATGATGTACCTAATAACCAACCTGTTTTCACTTACTCCCTCACCCCCAGCCACACCAACTAAATAATCTCAAATAGCATCCCCCTACTTGTGATACCTTATCTGAAAGCTCTTGAAAAATGCTTTTGAATGGTGCTCTACAAAGTTACATTCGATAGCATGTAGGGATATAGCCTCTATGGATATAGCCATTGAAAGTTTTCAAATCGACACTCATTATTCAGATAGAATAATGTTTTCTCTCGTATTTTCCTGAGCCATAGTGTCATCAGTAAGATTCTCAAGTTCCCCTATTTCAATTTCGTTAAAATCAACATATTGTATTGTCTATGTTTTGGTCTATAATTAGTGACAAATCTAATTAATGGTCATTTTTCCCAGCAGTAATTGGTAATATGAGAGTATCATGGAGAACATCATTTAGAGTTGCACTTACACATGATTCTACATTTATGGACAAAAATTCTGAGGCAATAGCATATCGGCCATTCTGAACAAATTTTCGCAAGGCCGACTGCCTATATTTGGTTATTGGCAGGTGAGTTTTAGGGAACGCTGACAATAACTTGTTTCATGTCTGTTATAAGTTTCACTACGGAACAAAAAAATCACAGCAAAACATTCTTTGAGTGATTTTTTCTTTCACACTCAAGACCATATCATAAAAAAGTTATATATTATTATTTTTTTTTTTATCAAGGAAAGGGCTAGGATGTTACGGGCACAATTTAGATTGTTAGAGTTTTGAAGGAATACACCCGAGAATACATAAGAAAACAAAGGAATACATATGAATACATAGGGCATACATAAGAATACATGAGATTACATGGGATAACATGAGGCTCATCCGCTGGAATACATTGGCGGTTTACCTCTTGGCCCAAATGTAGGAACTCAATCCTTAGTTTAAAATAGTAAAGGACTTATTGAAAAGGCCTTAGAGCTACCGTTCTGTATATTTTGACAGTATATAGCTCGGTTATCAAGCAAGATAGAAAAAAATTATAAATACAATATAGATAGGGATTAACGAGAACCGCTGGAAAATATAACTTTTATATAACACAGGGTGCACGCAAAAAATGTGGCAAGCACAACTTGTTTTTTTTTTTTTAATGGAACGCCCTGTAAATTTTTCAATAATCGAATAGACATTCCTGATATAAAAATATACAGTACGTTGATATTTGTATTATCCGTTTTTGAAATATTCGCGTTTAAAAATGGATTTAATTGTTTTTACCAAATCGCAGTTGCCATCAACCATATAATTGTCTACTACACGTCATTAATAAATAATATTCATTAAAGTAACATGCTACAAAATCGTTCCATAATGACGTGTATGCAATAATTATTTTGTTCATGGCAACTGCGATTTGGTAACACAATTAAATAAATTTTTAAAGGAGGATAAAAAGGCTTGAAACTAAATATTATGTATGAATATAAAAATTTCAAACATTATAAAGTTTATTTTAAGGTGTAATTATTTCAATAATAAGCCAAGTGACATTGACTATGAGACTATGGACTTGTGACTTTATTCACATCAATATATCAAATATCATAAGTCATGATGCATGTCATCATGCTGCAGAAGCTTTCTTTGTAGTTTGTGATAATAATCTCTTCTGATTATTATAAACAATAGATTAGGTCAAATCAAAAAATACCTCAACATTGAAGAAAATCAAATTTTTGTTGACAACATATATGGGACAATAATCAGTTTGTGAATAATTTTATAAATAATCATAATAAAGTTTTTGTTCGATAGTATTTTCACAAATTATAATGCTAAATTTTTCATGCACTTCAATGCAATTGTAAATGCTTCAAATTTTCATTATGATGCTCAAGGTAGTAACAGTCTGCGATTAAATTTGAAAGGAGAATCAAAGTCGCAAGGGCATTACAAAATTTAATATTGAATAACGCTAGGTGCCAAAAAAAGGGTAGTAACTTCAATGATAAGATTTCTGCTAGGAAGCATTTTTTGGAGAAAGGGACATAATTTTGATAAATCCTCAAAGTCTTTCATCTAAGTTTGAGGAAATTCACAATTTTATATTGGAAACAAAGCCTATGGCAATATGTTAAACAGAGACAAGACTCACAGATTGTATAAATGATTTTGAGAATAGTATGTTGAATTTTAAAGTTTACAGGGTGGACAGTGATAACAGGCACACTGGTGGTGTAGTGATTTACATAAATGATTGTGTTGACTTGTGGAATATTGAACAAAATGTATACAAAAAAAGCTATTGGTTTTATTGTCTTGAAAGTCTCTATTTGTGGCAGGATTTACGTGATAGGTCATTTGCTCGGTCATTTGTATCGTTCTCCTGGTGCAAGTTTTTCTGAATTTTTGAGTTTTTTTGAAGGTTGGTGTGACGCATCTGAGGACATGAGTCATCCTGTTATTATAATGGGACATTTCAATATTAATTGGTTGGCTGAGGATACATATTGGTTGAGATTGAAGAAGGTTGTCAATGATTCAGGTTTCACACAGAATGTCAATTTAGTTAGGTACTCACCCTACAGAAGAAAAAGGTAGCTTAATAGATTTAGTTCTTTCTATCCAACAATAAAGTTGGTATTTTTAAGTGCCAAGTTATGGAAACACCCCATATTAGTGATCATCATATTATAAAAACCATCAGAGAGTTGAATCAGGCCTACGCAGCCAAAGTAACTGTATGTACAGGGTGCGCCAATTTGGACACTTTTAATAGGAAACATCAATTTCTGAGGAGACACAAAAAAATGAACCCCCCAGTCTGAGGCTCAAATTTCATGAAATTTTGATTGGTGCAAACCGCATTTTGATATCTTCAACCGTTTAGCCGCTAGAGGGCGATTCTCGATTTTGAGCAATACTTTGAAACCTTCATAACTTTTTTCTTTATAAAAAGAATTGATTTCCAAAAAATTTTTCTTGAGGCACTTTTTTAAGTACCTAGAATTCAGTGAAGTTCTCAGTTTTTTTCTAGTTGACCCCAATTTCGAGATTTTGACCAAGGTTTTTTTCAATAGGACACCCTATAATATTAATAGCTCATTGGAAAGATCTGCTTTTGATTATTTCAATGATATAAAGTTCGATAGGTTTATCTAAGAGTTTCGGAGAAAAAAATTATGCTGTTTTTTTCATAAGAAACAATGTGTTAGAAAGAGACCTTTCTCATTTTCCTTAAAGATTTAAAGTCCTTTTCTAACACATTGTTTCTTATGACAAAAACCGAAATAATTTTCTTCTCGAGAATGTTAGAGATAAACCTATCGAACTTCGTATCATTGAAATCAGTAAAAAAATCGGACTTTGGTCAATATCTCGAAATTGGGGCCAACTAGAAAAAAACTGAGAACATCACTGAATTCTACTTAAAAAAGTACCTCAAGAAAAATTTTCATGGAAATCAATTATTTTCATAAAGAAAAAAGTTATGAAGGTTTTGTTTCACAGTATTGCTCAAAATCGAGAATCGCCCTCTAGCGGCTAAACGGTTGAAGATATCAAAATGCGTTTTGCACCAATCAAAATTTCATGAAATTTGAGCCTCAGAGTGGGGGGGTTCATTTTTTTGTATCTCGCTCAGAAATTGACGTCTCCTATTAAACGTGTCCAAATTTGCCCACCCTGTACAGGGTGTCCAAATTTGGATGGTTTTTTTTTGGATACGTCAATTTCTGAGCGAGATACAAAAAAATGAACGCCACACTCCGAGGCTCAAATTTTTTGAAATTTTGATTGGTGCAAACCGCATTTTGATATCTTCAACCGTTTAGCCGCTAGAGGGCGATTCTCGATTTTGAGCAATACTGTGAAATCTTCATAACTTTTTTGTTTATGATAATAACTGATTTCCGTAAAAACTTCCTAAAAGCACTTTTTTAAGCAAAATTCAGTGACGTTTTCAGTCTTTTTCTATTGGGCCTCAGTTTCAAAATATTAACAAATCCGATTTTTTTCGATGGGACACCCTATATATTAATAGCTCTCTAAAAAGCTCTGCATTTGCTGATTTCAATGATATAAATTTCGATAGGTTTATCTGTTTGTCAGTTTTATTAATAGCTCTTCAGAAAGCTCTGCTTTTACTGATTTCAATGATACAAATTTCGATGGGTTTATCTCTAACAGTTTTCCAGAAAAAAAAAACTATTTTGGTTTTTGTCATAAGAAACAATGAGTTAGAAAGAGATCTTTCTCATTTTCCTCACAAATATAAAGACCTTTTTTCACACATTGTTTCTCATGGAAAAAAACGAAATAATTTTTTTTTTTCGAAAACTGACAAACAGATAAACCCTCGGATAAACCTATCGAAATTTATATCATTGAAATCAGCAAATGCAGAGCTTTTTAGAGAGCTATTAATATATAGGGTGTTCCATTGAAAAAAATCGGATTTTGGTCAATATCTTGAAATCGAGGCCCAATAGAAAAAAACTGAGAACGTCACTGAATTCTGCTTGAAAAAGTAGTTCTAGGAAGTTTTTACGGAAATCAGTTATTTTTATAAACAAAAAAGTTATGAAGATTTCACAGTATTACTCAAAATCGAGAATCGTCCTCTAGCGG